CCAGGAGAGAAAATAAGAGTAGTATTTGCCATTGATCTTTGCTTCCAGCATTTCTGATAACTTCAAATAAGTGAAATCATACTCCTAATATTCCTACCTGCAGTGCTGGATCTACAAAGATATCCACATGCATTCACTCCAGGACAGGAGTGAAACCACAAGGCATGAAGGCACCAACTGACAGGCGCAGTGTTGTAGTTTAGGTGAATGTAAAATCAAGCATCTGTGTAAACCACAGACCATGAGAATGAAAATTCCTCCTCATTTTAAAGAACAAGGCAAAACTTCATGAGATAAAACTTCATCAAGAAAGATGGTGGCATTCTTGCATCCTTGCTAAACTGCTACTGAGCCTTCAGGCCCTTCTTGAAATGTAAAATTTTCTTGAGGGAGTGAAAAGAAGCATCAAGATTTAGGTTTTAAATTTTTTAGTGACAACACCGAAGAAAAGAAATTATTCTACAGAATTTTAATGTCCTCTCTCTTCCTCCCTTGTCTTTCCTGTTGAAATTCAAATTATCAACAAACTCTTTTTAGAACCTGAGCATGCTGGTACCTACAGGCAATATATTTCTAGTGCAAATCAGTACCAAGGCCATTATAATCTCCATGTAGATAAATATGTCAATATGCACAAAGAGTATTAGATGTGTCCAGAAATTTCAGCTAACTTATGCAAGACCAGACATTTGCATTGTTAACCGAATTTTATACTCTCTTCCAAAAACAAAAACGGGTGATTGAACCATTACTGAAAAAATAACCTAAGGCTGAAAAACAAAGAGTGAGCCTTTTGAGAAAACTCTTCCAATCAGAGTAAGTGGAAAACTTTCTCTCCTATGTTAACCATAACACTATGAAGGAGGCAAGAAGGGAAAGAGGGAAGGGAAAGAGGCAGGCCAGTGGGCAAGATAAAAACCAAATACATCAAAAAGCCTCAGTATTTTATGTAGTGAAAGTGCTGGACAATTCAAACTAGCTAAATATAAACCAATCCTAAGTATTTTAAACATATTAACTGTATTATCTCCCAAAAGAAAGGGATAGTCTTATCCTACTTTTCTGCATCCAACCTTTTTTTCACTTGTCTAAGTTTTCCACTTAGAGATGTGGCTATAACTCTTGTGCTACCCTGGGAAAATCCTTCATACTCCTGCTTCTCATCTTTCTTACTGACAGCCACGTACCAACTCTAAGCTCAAATAACTGTTGTGCATCAATAGACCATAAATTAGTAACTTTGATAAACAAGGAGAGAAAGCAATGCACAACAAACTGATATATCAAACAACGAAAAAATGACAAGAAGTAAAGGAATGCAAAGACAACATTTTTTTTTTCTGAAATCAATTACTTTGTTTCCCCCAAAGGATAGCAATAACTTGTGGGCTAAAGCTGTTAAAAGTCATCCTTAGTAAGTAAGACCACTCACCTGCAGCAAGCTTTTGCCAAATTTCAAGTTCTTTAAAGAAAATAATAAATCTTTGTATGTTGTTGCTCTATACCTGAGGTCCAATCAGAATAACTTAGCATTGTTATTCTGTTTATTCAATATTTATTTATTTATAAATTAAAAAAAATATTCTATTTATTCAATATTTTGTTTATTCAATATCTGTTATTCAATATTAGCATGCTAATACACTAAGAAATATGGTAAATGTAGTTAAAGGCACATGTTTGCCCTGGGTAAAATTTGACACTCCATTTGTGTTGTGTGAGAGCAAGGAACAAAAAATTTCTGTCCAGTTTGCAGTCATATACAAGAAAAAAAGCAGATTTTCAGGGAGGTTATTACCACCAAAAAAAAAATCAGAAAAAGTTTAGTTCAGGAAAAAGTTTAATCCACTAAAAAGACTTCCTAGTCCATGGTTTATTATTGAGAAGCTTACTTCTTTGTTGTAAGTAACAATGATAATTTTAGATGCATTAAGATATTTGATCTCAGCTGATGACAGTAAATATCATACTTTTACTAACTGAAAAAAAAAATTAAAATTACAGCTCTTAAAAAGAAAATTAAATTTTTCTTTAGTCTGGAGTGTTAATCCAGGCCCAGACAGTATTTCAATAGATTTCCTCAGCTTCAAATCCCAAAAATATTTAACAAGAACTTCTGGGATTTGTTAAGAAGATGCAGGCTGCAACACGTAGTTAAGTCTTCTCTTGAGCAACCACCTTCATCACTGAGTTTCCCCACTTTTCCTCTTATAACCATTTGTGAGTTTGAGCCTCAATAAAATATTGTAATGTTTTTAGATAGCAGATGAAAAGTCCCCATGTTTGACTCGGGTAAAAACTGATAGAAAAATGTGACCCCAGATCCAACCCATATATAGCGTTCTTGGACCTCACTTCTTTTTAAATTTGGATGGAAAACATAAAAATTAAGCTTTCAATGGAAATACATTTACAAACTCAAGCAGAAAGCAGCTTGTGCCATTTCTTTAATCCCTTCACAGTCTGTATGTTATTACTGCTATTGAAATAGATGGCAAGAATACAACACCAGGGCTCTGCACATGATTAACTTTTTATTCTTCCTGTAACTTGCTATAAACCTCAAATGAACTTGCAGGTTGGCAAGAGCATGTTAAGAGCTAGATGCCAAACTGTAAGAGACATTTTTTCCAAACAGCATCACCTTCCTTGGATGTGGTTCCCTTTCCCTCTCCTCTCCTTTTTTCTACCTCTGTCTCCCAATAGCTATTATAGCTAGGCAGATATTTCGTTTGTATTTGGGACTTAAATCCTTCAAAAGGCCTCAATCCTAGACACAAAACACTCCATGAAGAGATTTTTCCTCCCTTCAGCTCCAGCCTTGCTCTTTCTGCTACGAAATGCTACAAAAAGAGACACCAATGATTCCAATTGGCCTGTCAGCAAAGAGCCAGACTGGGCTCAGTCACCCATTTTCCAGAGGTCCCAGAAGAAGAACTGATGTTGCCGAGTAACTATACACCTCCAGCCACTGCTTTCTGTACCACATCTAGCAAGTGATGCTGGAGATTCAGTGCCTGAGGAATCAGCCTGGTGGGCTGCATGGTCCTGAAGGAAGCTCTTCAGCTCTTTCAGGGTGGTGATCCCTCCTCAGTGAAATGCCCAAAGGTCATTGCTGAAGGCTGTATTTTACAGAAACACCTAAAGATTTAAAATACCTGCAAAAAGGATCTGCCTAGTACAGGACTCAGAGGTTAAAGCCTAACAAGATTTTCCATGAAGAGCCAGATTCAAGGCAATAAAGAACCTACTCCTTTTTAGCATGAAGCCATCCCCCCTTGTCCTGTCACTACAGGCCCTTTTAAATAGTCTCTCTCCATCTTTCCTGTAGGTTCCCCTCAGAAAGGCCACAGTTAGGTCACCCCAAAGCCTTCTCTTTTCCAGGCTCAAAAATCCCAGTTCTCTCAGCCTTTCCTCATAACGGAAGTGCTCCCTTCCTCTAATTATCTTGGTGACCTCCTCTGGACTTGCTCCCAAAAGTTCATGTCCTTCCTGTGCTGGGGACCCCAGAGCTGGAGGCAGCACTGCAGGTGGGGTCTCATTCCCATTACATTCTTTAAGTGAAAAATGAATGCCCTTGTACATCAGTGTGATGTGGAATCTCAATAGCATACTGAAACAGCTAGACATTTCAATTCCATGCTGATAAATTTGTTCCTTTGAAAATGTGGAACATACTTCAAAAATATCAATGTGATGCCTCAGTGAACATCCCTTTATTGAAAACCAGAGTAACGATACAATTCTGGTCACAAACAAATGGCCTGACAAAGTCCAGATACAGACAGTCAAGGTCCTGTTTTGCCTTCACATTCACAAGACTGATTACAGTAGAAGTGGCCCCCATGCACCTCAGGGAATAATTGGCCTTTAGTTTACAAAACCTTTAGGTCCATGTAGTTCTGATGATGAAAGCTTTCCTCTCTCTGCAACCAACACTATTTTTTGTCTCTATAGCTCTTGTGAACACCATGGCATTTTGCTCAGAAGGGGGGGGTAGCTCTATCTGCATTACTAGAAATGAGAAGAAAAAAGCAAAATATTGAATGATAGATTGACATGCTCAAAGCTATTGGCAGCTGCAAAGAATACTGACTTTCAGACACCCAGTCCACAGTGCTCTAGCTATTCAAGCAACCCTGAGAGCTGCTAGATACCTAGGAGACTGTACACTGATAATACAGAAAGAAAGGAAAGCAAGCACTGTGAAAGATAAAATAAATTAGACAAAGTGATAAAACAGAAGGATTGAAACGATTGGTGGCATGGGAAAACAGGAATCTGGGCGGCAACACAAAAATAAAGAGCAAATAGCAGAAAGTAAGAGAAGAAACACCCAGAGATACCACCATCAAGTAGCATTAAAAGGAATTAAATTTGTCTTGCAAACCCAAGCACATGTAAATTAAGAAGAGACATGTATTAGAATTTAGGTGAGGTGTGACTGTCAGCTGGAATTTCCTGAAACTAAGGATAGAAAAATTATTCAAGTTGTGTAACTGCTATAATGTTATACCTTAATTTGGTATCCTGGAGGAAAAAATTGCCCTGAAAGGTCTTGCCTTTACAATGTTCCGTTTCATTTTGCTTGTGGTTCTTTCTCTGGGGTTTTGCATGTGCAAATAGCATAACTAACTACTAAATCCAAGCCACAACTGCATGTCCTAGTTTCCCTGCAGTCCAAAAGCCGGGACCAGAACATTTTCTTCTGAGAGGCAGTTCCATAGCCCTAGGTTAGAAGGCTGGCCAATACTTTTGACACCTCCTAAGACCCCCTGTTGCTTGACCAAAGGGCTTGGAAGGCATTTCTGACAGCTGGTGTTGAGCTTAGCGTCCTGCTGAGATTGTGAGACGTCTACTGGCATCCCACTTAACGCCATCCCAGCGGTGCTGAGGGGCTGTGGCATCCCATCACCCTGGCCAGGCTCTCATGGAATTGCAGCTGTGCCTTCCCTCTGCTGACCTTCAGGGGCAGCTGCAGTGCACAACCCACCTTGAGCTGAAGTCTTACTACTGTGGCCATGGCTAGAGAGGGGGCTGATATTTCTCCCAAGTTTTCCAGCTCCCGTTCAGATCAGTGAGTTGTGGGCAAGTGGGGCTCCTTCCCACACGCTGAAGAGCTCTGAGAAACAAAAAACAGAAGACCGGGTAAAACCTCACATGGGATATTAATAATGTCATTTCCAGGCTTCTAAGGTTACAAAGACTTCAGCTGTACGGAGTGTTTACTATGTAACTATTCCCCATCAGTTTATATATACAAACTGGTAGGGAAAAATCACTTACATGGGAATGAATAATTGTAGTTACATATAACATGTATCTCAAGAAAAATAATATTGGCATTCCCATTTGAAAGATCTCTTCTAAGTTTCAGGATATAGAATAATTATGAATATCATATGTATACATGTGACATGTAAAACAGCATATGTTGGATAGAAGACAGGAACTCCACAGTTATAGTTTAGTTCAGCTTTATGTTATAAGTAAGGAGACTGCACAGGTCACTGTGGAAAAAATAAATTTTAAATGGCAGCAAACTGGACACAAAATTAAAAGCTTTATCCATGATTTTTATGAAAATATCACTGTTCATAGAATAGGAGGAAGACGGATTCAGAAACGTGTATGACGTATGTAGCAATTGAAAAAATGTGATGGAAAAGCATATATTTCACATTCATTCCTAACTTTCAGTACTTTTCACTTCACAAAGATCTGTTATGCTGTTTTGATGACCATCTGTATAAAAACTTAGCTTCAAAGGATGCCTGAATTTTAGAGATGCCCTATGAGAGGAAAAGAATATGACACAGCAATATTAATCCATATTTTAGTTTATTGTGAACTGTTTTGGACTCCATCAATAATGAAAGCAAGCTTATGACTCATTTGCAAATTTGAACTAAATGGTTTGACTTGAGGAATTAGATTATGGTTGACATTGATTTCTAATTCTGCAAAAAAACCCCCACGACAACAGGCCCTAGCAGAAATTATAGATTTTGATTTTAAGGACTTCCAAAAAAATCCCAGAAAACCAAGCTAGTTCTACCTGTGCTTCCAGGTGTAAGTGGTAGCTCCTTTCTGTTCTTTTGCTGCTACCTGTTAAAAAATAACACAGGTTTGTTTTTTAGCATGAAAACATTTCAGAAGTATCCTTAAGAAAGTTAGAGGTAAAAGAATAATTAAGCAGAAAAAAAAATAAATTGAAAGAAAAGGAATACCTGCTAAAGCTGGGGTGCTTGAAACTTATGGTAGATTTTTTCAGCTATTAGCTGTTCTATCACAAAATATGATCCTGTTGCAACCACGAAATTTAACACATTAATAAAAACAACTGATCAATACAGAAGTACCAGCAGTTGGCCATCTGTAAAGTTCAACACTTAATCATAATTAAGTCAGGAAAAGCTGACAAATAAGAAATCACACAAAGACAATGCAGGAAGTAACCAAGCACCCTTAAATCATCAATTTGGTCAGTTCTGACACTGGTTTCAGTTACTTCTGTTTAAATTAATTTGGAATAAAAAATTAATCCCTGATGCATATCTTTTCCAATTATCAAAATAAGATTTGAGTTAAGCCAATAAAACCAGCAATATTTTAATTATATTAAACCACATGAAGCACACAGTAAGGGTGTGAGTGCAGACAACTACTTGGGCATCACATATTAAATAAATTAATGAAATAAAAATAGTGGTGCATTTTCTTGCCCGTGAAATATTGTGTTGCTATCAGAGCAACCCCTGTTGGTCGGTAGATGGATACAAGGAGAGCAGAGAATTTACAGCTTTGGATGCAATTCCTTTTCCTAGGGCACCAGGTGCTTTAAATGCCACCAGAAGGATGCTCCAGGCAGTGCCATACTGTCCAACTTGGCTTGGCATAGATTAGCTCATAGCCTTTGTGCCTTTGCAGACTTTGATTAAGGGCCAGTGTTAGAACTCCTATGGGTTTTTACTTGATCCAGTGTAGCACAGGGATTTTTTTTTTTCATCACAGCAGCCAAAAATATGCCAGTTAAGATAATTACATTTCAATTTAAATTGGTAATTTAATGGAAAATTTTAAACCAGGATGTAGGGCAGGATATGAACTTCCAGCCTTATCCCACAACATTTTTTCTGTATTGCAGATGATTTAGGGCCCCAGTTTCCTATTTCTGTCTTTCAGTGAGACCAGAGAGTCTACAACTCTCCACAGCTTTGCAGGATTCTCTCTTCAACCTGTTTTAAGTCTTCAAATCTCACCTCAATTTGCCTTCATCCATCTAATGTTTGCTGTTTCATTAACAATCTTTATGTTTCATTACCTGCCTTTACCAGTCACAACGTATACAAGAAACAAATTGTTCCTCGGGATATTTGCTCCCTTTTGAGGGGACAAGTAGAAGAACCCAAGATACTCTGCCTGCCATTCCTCTGCTGTTTTCATTATTTGTTTCGGGGCTGACACAGAAGCCTGGCAGTCGCAACATACTGTAAGGGGAATCATTTTCCTTTGTTTGGAGCGCAGTGTGTACCGTCATTTACATAATAAAATCCTCACACAAATAACAGATGGTGAAGAGGCACTCATGTTGCCACATGTTGGAAGCATGATGTAGTTCCTTGATGAACTCGTTTCTCTTGCTTTTGCCTACAGATGTCTACCAGCTATTAAACCTTGGGGGTTAGTCAGCTGGTCGGAGGTTTAGGCAGGCAAAAATCTGTCTACAGAATTTTCCTGCTTCTAGGAGGAGCAAATGTTATACCCTGATAGAAATGTGCTATCCATTGAAAATTGTTTCCACCACCATGGAAAGTAAATAATCATCTCTATTTTCAACACTCATTGGGCTGAAATGGTTGACTATAGAAGACAGAAAATGCCATTATTCCACTGAGCCTGAGCTGTTTTCTCTCTTTTTGGAATCCTTTCCTGAGCAGAAGCTGGGGACAGAGTGAGCTTTGCTAATGCTGCATATTAGCAATATCAGCTCTTGGATGCATTACCATTAATTTTATGTGCAAATTAAGTGCTGGAAAACAAACGTCTGTCACTTGAAATAAAGAGCCATACAGCCTGTATGCAGTGCAGTGAAATAGGATCACACCACATTCCCTAATTAGAGTTAATGGATCTGCTTCTGATCCCATTTACACCGATTTTACGATCATGTAATCCACGCTATCGTCTCCAGTGGAGCTGCTCTTTAGAAAGAATCAGTTCCCAGGATGACAGAGGGTATTTAAATGAGTGGTCATTTAGTTAAGTCTAACTATTCCTTAGATGCATGTCTGTGTATTGTTTTCAGAGCTGGACTGCTGCAGTTTCAATGCAGGTGTTGGGAGGGGAGATTGGCAAGACCATGGGTCTGGTTTATTACTTCTGTTTTGCCTGAAATGTGGTGTTTTGTATAGCTGTGGGGAGAGAGCAAACACTTTAAATAAGCTAGGTCCCTTAGCAGCTACAGGAAAAGAGAGTAGCAATTCCATGTGATATTGGTTACATCATAATTTTGCTCTCATCATGTTAACACCCTTTGGTCTGCGTGCATTAGTGTAAGAGTGTTTATAAATGCTGAATAGACCCACATCCAGCTAATCCACCTTCCTGTATGCTCAAAATTCAGCCCATGGACTCCAGAAATCTGTTTTCCAGTTCAACAAGAGGTTTGTTCATATTCACAAACGCTGCTGATTGAGAGAGGGCAGCTTCCATTTTGTGAGCACCAACACAGCATTCCAAATAGCAAATATTCATCCATCTGGCTCTGCTGATGGGCAGGAAGGGCAAGAGAGGTGCTTTACAGTGGTGTGTCTGCTCATGAGCTCCCCTATGTCCAGAAAAACCTGGGATCATGCTGCAGTGCCAGCAGTGGGAATCTGCTGTGCCCAGGCTGAGAGGGAGCATGTCTGCCCCAGTAAAACCTACAGACCCAGAAAGTCTTTATAATAGAGCTTTCAATCAGGCAGTACTTTCAGAGTGCTGCAAGTGCAGAGTATCTCTACTCTGAAAAAACCCTAAAAAATGTGTTTGATTAGCTCTAATTAACTTGTTTGGGTTTTGGGGGTTTTTTGTGGGTTTTTTTTGGGGGTGCTTTTGTTTGTTTGTTTGTTTGTTTTGGGGTTTTTTTGTTGGGTTTGGGGATTTCTGTTGTGCTTTTGCCACAGGAGCCTGTTCATAAGGAAAGAATATTTTGAATTGCCAGATTTTTAGCTTGTACAGCCTAATGAAGAGTTGCAGGTCTGATTACCCCATAGCATGGAGCCCTGATCTGCAGTCTTTAGCATCCAGGAAGTACGTGGTTATTTTCCATGCATTAATGCACTAGCATTGACCAGTTAATTTGAAATCACTTGCATCTCGTGTCATGACATAAAAGCAAATGTAGCTCCAGAACCACAGACTTACAAGGTTGTATAAAGATATAAGCAACAGAAGGGAAATAAATTTCCTTCATATATTGTACATCAAGGTCAAAACTGAAAGGTATCTCTCTCCTGAAATGCTTTACCTAACACTGATGTTGTCACCAGGAACTTACTACTCCTTATCCATTTTTCACATCTGCAGGTTCCATTCACAGAATATTACATTCCACTCACGTCATCTCACTGAATTGTCTTCACTTAAGAAGACAGTGTCCCTTTCTTACCTTTCTCTGAGTTCTCTCCTTCACCACTCCCCAGAGCAAACAAAGCCAGAAACCTGAAGATTGAGAAGGACTGAAAAATGTCTTCTGTGTGATTAGGGAATTTGAAATAGGATTTTGATTACTTTCCTTGGGAGAATCTACATCTGATTGACAATAAAAATCACATTATTTTCATTTCTGCTTGTTCTGCATTAATTAAATCTCCATAAGTACAGCTATACATCATACATTTTAATTGTGACAAGTACAGCTCTTAAGCACAATATGCCTGTATGATTACTAATGTTCATAAAAAAAACCCACAGAGGACTAGAGTGTAGATGTAAGACAATACAATATGGATGTGCTTCTCAAGCTGTAGCTAACACGCATGTTAAAGCTAAACCTCTACCACAACTCTAGCCAAATAAAAATAATATGCTTACACTATTGAAACCAAAAGTGACCAAGATTCCAAATTGACTACTTTGTATTTCCCCAGCTACAGATTATATAAATATCAATAGTTTGCTCATAAATAAATGTCAGGAAAATTACTTTAATATTATGCACAGAACTTTAAACTGAAGCATTAGAATTACAGTCTGAACAGCTGAAAACTGAATTTAAGTATTTCATCTTAATATTGACATACAACATTGACTGAGAAATCAAATGTCTATGTACTTTCTGTAAATAAGGTCTCTTTCTCTTGCACTGGAGCTAAGGTAAGCAAAAGAATGATGAGTACAAGCAGAGAACAAGCATGTCATGCTATCTTGATGTTCACTCAGGATTGAAATACAACTTTGAGGATTTAAAGAAAATCATTGCAGGAAAAGGTATTTAAAACAATGATAATGAGTCAACTCTAGAAAAAAAGGGTCAGTTGTTTTGATAAACAGTCAGTCAGTTGAAAACTTCACCCACACTCTCACTTTTACTATCCAAAAGCATGGTTAACGATACCTTTTAATGATACTTTGTATTTCCTGTTCTAGACACATAAAAAGAATAAAAATTAAAAAAACCCCAACCAAACAAACAAAACACACACGAAAAAAACCCAACAAAACTTTCTCTTAGAAGATTATCTGATTTAATAGAAATTACCATGCTTGCCAGGCCAGTTTACAGTTGGCATTAAAGGCTTCCTCCTCTAGCAGAAGGCAGTGCATTGTCCTGCACGACATGACCATGTTTGCATCTGTCATGCTAACTCTTGGCTGCTGAAAAACCCATTACACAGTACACCATGCTTCCATTGGACCCTTTATTTTCCTTCTTACTTATCTTTTGAGACATTATTTATCTTACTGTTTTCCCCCCTCCCCTTTTTTTCCTCGTGCTTTTTCAGCTCCAAAAACCTGTTTTTTATACTGAAAATTTGATTTGTTTTTTTTTTTTCTAAATATGACCTAAATTCTTATTACCTCCTTTTAAGATCCCTAACTGATACTCTTTCAGACAAGTAAAA